AATTGTCTCAGTAAATGCCCAAACCCTACAGAACTGGTGCCTTCAGAGAGCCACTATGATTACATATTTGGCGTCCCTGAACCGGTTTTCTCTACACCTCTTTACTGTATACCGCGTTGCCTACCAACTATCCAGGTGCTTCTCAAGACCTCAGTTCTCACTCTAGATTGTGTAGCGTTCTGCCCCTTGATCTTCACTCTGTCACCTTTAGCCGGGCTTACTTTAACCTCTTCCCCACCTTAATAAGGAAGGGAGTTATGTCTTTTCCTCTTGGTCCTTGTGTTTCATTAAGCATATGTATCTCTCTCTTTATCTAAACACTTTACACCTTTCCTTGCATAGCATATCCACCCGTGCTCTTGAGGGACAAAGAGTTTGAGCCAGCCTGAAGCTGCTTCTCCCTGTCATTCTGCAAAACTTCTCCTGATAAAAAGGAGCATCGAGACAATATGCTTTTGTATCAGAATTTTTAGATGGCTGAAGATGACAGGTCACATGCAAGTTGCACATTACAAAGTCCAAATATTTATTGCTTCACTAAGTAACAAAAATGTTAAGGTACGTTTGACGTGCACATGAACCGTTTACAAAGAAATGAAACTGCATTTCTCACAGGAACTTGCAAAAGGGGGAGGGGTAGCCAGGAACGGGCAGCAGCAGGACTTTAGAAAAATCCGTCTGTATGCCTGTAAATTCAACGCTAAATCATCTCTATTCACCGAATGCAGGTAGGGAGACAACTTTTAGATTATTATTAATATAACCATAGTTGTAGTTTTGAATCCATGATATTGTAGCGAATTCGGGTTTTCTGGCTTGTGCATTGACTTACTTGTTATTTTCTCCCTTCCCTTCGACTCGATGGAAGGATCTATTTTGCTGGGGTCATTTAGTGCTCAAGGCCCAGGTTTTAACTTGAAGATGGGAATTCTTGGAAAGTAAAACAGTAGTTATGATTTAACTTAGGTTAAGAAATGATTTTATTCTTATGTCAAAGACTGCGTGATACTTTTACTTTAGAGTAAGTACAATCAAGAGTCATTTTAATTGGCTCGAATAAACAGGCCCGATGTGTACTCCGTATTTTAGGAACTAGGTGAAACGAATTGTGTTTTTCTAGGTATTTGCTGTCGAACCTCTTATATGAGGGAAGCAAATTGTATATTTTTTAAAACTTTTTAATAAATGCAATTTATCTTTTAGTCTATTTACTTTATATTTTGGGACATTATTACATAACTGAATTTAACGAAAGAAAATATTGATTCCATGTTTTGTTATCTTTGCAAATCTATTTCTCTTTGAAAATGTCAAATTCAAATTCAATGTTAATCGAGAAGACAAAGTTACAAAATAAAAAGGTCTGTACCATTTAATATTTTTAAATAAAAATTATTTACTAAAAAAATTAATAAAATACCGTTTCTTTTCCACCACCTCGTACTGTGAAAGGACACAAGACACACAAGGCTTTTTGACAGAATGCCAACGTCTTTTGCCGTTTTTCATAAAGCATCACAATACACATACCGCAATAGAACTTTCAGAACTTAAGAAGGAAGTGCTTAGTCAAACGTTTTTGATGATACGCTTCTAATGAGTACGTCATGCGTTCAAACCCTCGGATATCTTGTTAGTTTTTTTAAATGTCTAATTTCTAATGTTTCTTCAAACATCTTTGTATTTTATGTGTAAAATACATATTATTCGGTGTATTTTGAACTGAAATTAACGTTAACCTTTATAATAATGTAACTACTTTTGATATACTTATTCACAGTTTAATTTTTAAAGATATAGTAATATATTTCTGTCTTTATGATCAATTTAAAATGGAGTTTACGAGAGGTCTTAATACAATGGGATGCATTCTTTAGAGGAGTTTTTTATTTCTGAACTTTCTCACTTAAAATGCAGTATTCTGGTTATGGAAATATACTTCGATAAGAAAATAAACGCTCCTCTTAAACAACGTGTTCTAAAATGTACTTTAAATATGGTAACAGCATTTTAGAACATAAGCATTTTGAAGCTTAGTTTCAAAGGGAAAAAAGGCCTATGGCTTTAGAAAGGTCTGTGGCTTCATTGCATGGGTTTGTGTTAAAGGTTGCCGACAACTGCTTTGACAAGCAGATAGCTCAAAGAGAAATGTAACACACTACAGGACAATTTACTTCGTTTGTGGTGCTTTCTGAGAGTGAAATGTAGAGTACTAGATATCTTTTTTACAGATTGTCTCCAGGCACAAGTCAAATTATTTGTATGTAAAATATAGTTTAAATGAAATAAAACAATTTCTGTGATTTTGTTGACTGTTTCACTCTTTCAATACAGTTAAATTCTCAGCTATACATCAACTTGTTTAACATTGATGTTTTTACTCTGCCTATATCCTTCTGAAGATGTTACTACAAAAAAATTATAATTATGCTCCTCTTTCTTTTTAATGGTGTTTTAAGGCATACTTGAAAATGTAATCTATGTTACATCTAATGCTTTTGAACCCAGACTATGTTGGCTATGTTAGTAACTGAATGGTGATCAAGAGTTCCAAGTGTTTGATTGGTCTTCCTTCATCGCCTCATGCAACACCATTTGGGCATATGACCCCAAACGCATTTCTTACAAGTCTGTATTGATTGATGTCAACAGACTTCAGTCTTTAAGTGTCTGTCAGGGGTAGGTTACTATACTTGATACTAGACATCAGCGACCCGTGCATATTTTCATGACAAGTAACATCACAGACAATCTGTCTCGGTGTGGATTGTGGTAGTTTCCTCTTTTTAAACTGGACGAAGTAGCGAATATGCCTTCAGGCAATTGTTACATGTGGTACGTAATTTGGAGTAAATTATAATATGGCTTAATAGGGCTGTTTAAAGAAACTGTTATTGAACTTAGTTCTAATTGGTTATTGATTGGTTATTTTTAATTGGTTGTGAACAGTGTATTGAAAGTATCCTTTAAAAATATGTTTAAAGGGTTTATTTTTTATGTAAGCGTTGTTGTAAATGTTGGCCCCAATATATATAGAAATTCTGGAATACCAAGGCTGAGAGAATGTCTAAAAGAGAAAGAAAAGTGATATAGAAAAGGAAGATGATGGAGAGGGCCTTGTTTGTCTTAAAGTCTGGACCTTGCATTTATGATATTTTTGGTTTAAGACAGTGCAAAAGACATTTTAATTGCTGTGGTGATGCTTTAATTAGAGTTTGATATGATAGTTATGAAGTTATGATATGATATTTTTGATATGTTCGGTTTTTGTTTTGGTTGTCTTTAATTCAGTTTAAATTTTCAAAAGTCACAGGATGAATGTACAATGCTACAGATGCAGCCATTCAAAATGCACGGGCGATACCGCATTATTTTGCGGTGCACTTTACGCAGTCTACCGCGAGTTACCGGTAAATACCGCGAGTTACCGTAAATTCTTCTATAATAGCGCAAGCAAAATAATAATATCCGGAATTTCCTAAAGGTGGAGCTAATAAAGCTCAACCTCTCATGTTTGAGCTGTCGCCATCAAAGTCTTTAATGAAGATATTACTAATAGTAATAGTATTAATAATGAATGACCTTGGACAAGCTGTAAACTCAAAGTATTGCCCTGGTTCACATTCTTTTTTTCATTGACCGTCTTTGTAAAAGTAACACCACGGCATTTCGCAATCATGCATTTGTTTCCAATCATGCAGTAATTTTTGAGAATCGATTCACCATGCCTTTCAC